ACCGAGCAGTGCAGGCACGGCCACACAGCGCAGTGCCACACGGCCCCCGACGGGAGAGCCGTCTGGAAACAGCGACTCCCCGACGTCCGGGCGGGAGTGGCGAGCGCAGAGGAGCACGTGTGCGGAGCCCTGCCAGCCGCGTGCGTCGGGCAGGGGCCACACAGGGCACACCCGCCTGCTCACCCGGGAAGCAGCGTGAAGGGTCGGCCGAGACCCAGACATCAGCACGAGAAACAGGGAGCGTGGTGTCCCCAGACACGTGCCCACGTCCTGAGAAACAGGGAGCGTGTTGTCCCCAGACGCGTGGCCACGTCCTGAGAAACAGGGAGCGTGGCGTCCCCAGACGCGTGGCCACGTCCTGCGAGTTGAACAGAACCGGAGGCCCGGCCCCAGGGCTGACGGCACACGGGAAGCGGCGAACCCAACTCCAAGTCCAACGGAAAGCACAGCCACACCCGGGGTGGGAGGGCACCCAAGGAGCTCGCTCGCCAGGCATCTGACCGTGCCTCCCGCTGGGCTGGCGGTGAGGACCGGAGCACTGCCCTCCGCTCAGCCGTCCCATCCTGCTGTCCTGCGGCAAAGCCCCCGAAGCTGCTTTCCTGCCGAGCAGACACTGTTGCTGGGGTCAGAGCTCACTGCGGGAGGGGACGCAGATGGGGACCGGGGAGGCAGACACCGGCCCACGACGGGGGTTGCCGGGTGTCAGCGTGGCGCCGAGATTTCTCTTATGTGTGCACGTGCGTGGCTGCAGGCACCGTCCCAAGCCCCGTCCACAGAAGCAGCCTAACCAGACCCATGCTACCAGCGCATTTTGTAGCCAGCTTGGTCCATGAAACTGCCCCACCCAAAGGAGCCCTCAGGGAACAGCTGCGGGGTCAGGAGGAGCCTGGGCGCGACACCTCCTCTGGGGAGTGGGGAAGTGCTCAAGTTAACAGCAGCGGGGCCGTGGCCAGGACAGAGCCCCAGCAGGCCCCCTGCGGCGAACGTTGCTCAGGCTGAACACCAGGATAAACAGACGGGGTGACCCGGGCCGAGGTGCGGCGGCAGCCCGCACACACGTGC